GAGGGAAGGGATGGGGAGTGGGGTGGGAGCAGAAGTTTAACAAAGGATCACTTTAACAGAAACTACTGAGTAATCGCTCTGCTCTGCGCCAAGAATAACATCAGCTCAATGTCGGCAATTAGAATCAGGTCAGTCAGGCCTCACTGCTGGGGTAGCACTCCTCATAGACCCCAGCAAGGAGAGCTACTCATGCTGATGTCACCAGTAGTCACTGTTGCCTGAGACAGTCCCCCGACTCAGCTGAAAGAAAAGTTTTATGCCTTCTCCTTCAAGGGCAGGAAGCCAGGATGACAAGGAAATGAGAAGCATGGAGGGAAACTAGAGAGAAGACACACATCTGGGTATACCACTCGGATTCACTTTACTATCCCCAACTATCGAGATGCTGTAATGACCCCAACCATCCCGAAACACCTTTTAAATGAGTTAACCTATACAGACTACCTGGAATAATGCTGGAACACAAGCAGCAAATGTTTAAGTGGTGACCATTATTATTAAAACAAAGAGGGAAGAATGTGTCCCATTATTTATCTCTTGCCTTCCAAACACTTGCATCCCAGGAACAGTGACTGCTGAGCAGAATGTACCCTGATAAGAATGAATAAGGAGGTATTCTGATAACTTATTCATGAGGAGATTGTGGTAGATGGGGTGAAAAAGATGGCAACAAAGTTCCTATAAAAAACCATTGCCTGAGATTTTGTAAGGGCAACACTATCTTTTAATATATCCCTTCTCCCTTTGAAAGAACAGAAAACAAATAAGCAAGAAGAGACATTTTTAATCTTTCCCTCTAGATCGCTGGTACTCAAAATGTGGTCACCAGAAGGTAGCATTAACATCATGCGGGAACTTCTTTGAAACGGAAATAATTGAGCCCCACTCTAAACCTAACAAATCAGAAATGGGGAATCCTTTAAATGGTTCTACTGCTCTAGACTAGGGGCCTGCAAATTAGGACCTGCAGGCCAAATCCAGCAAGCTGCCTGTTAAATAAAGTTTTTTTGGGGGCGGGAGACAGAGCCTCAAGCTGTCCCCCTGGGTAGAGTGCCGTGGTATCACAACTCACAGCAACCTCCCACTCCTGGGCTCAAGTGAGTCTCCTGACTCAGCCTCCCAAGTAGCTGGGATGAAGGCACCTGCCACAATGCCTGGCTATTTTTTGGTTGCAGCCATCACTGTTGTTTTAGCGGGCCCAGACTGGATTGGAACCCGCCTCCTTAGGTGTATGTGGCTGGCGCCTTAGCCACTTGAGCCACAGGCGCCGGGCCTTAAATAAAGTTTTATTGGAAGACAGTCACACTCTTTCATTTACACATTGTCTATGACTGTTTCTATGCTACTATGGCAAAGTTGAGACCCTGTGGCAAGAAAAGCCTAAAATATTCAGTATTTGGCTATTTACAGAAAAAGTCTGTCAACCCCCACTATGACTTAAGATGTTTTTCACACTGCTGAATTTAAACATCAGTGTAAAAAGCTCCTAGTTTCAATTTTGTCTTATTTTGCTTATTGTGCTGTTAAATGGATTGGGTAACACCAATTTTCTATGGAAACCTCTGCCAATGACTCTGGGTGACTTTTCTCTACTGCTCTCATGTTATAGATCAGTCTGGAGTGGATTCAGTGCAAGACAATTTCTTGGTTTATGAGTGTAACACTAGAGATAAAGACCAAACTCATTCTGATGAATGGTAAGTGACAGCCATTTCCAAATTCACATCCTGAATCAGAGTTTAATCCGAAATTAACACCTTCAATAAGCTGTTTAATGGAGAACTTCCTCTGCATGTATTGAGAAAGGCTGCATGACCTTTCTCCAAACATAGTAGGAGGTCACTGTGAAAGGTACTGTTCATGAACGTAACTAATACACTATAATACAAATGTAAGGCCTCCTTTAAAATCCTATTCCATAAACAGGCCTCTCTTGTGGATGAATACTAGGTAAATCACATTACCATTCTACTCACTGCTCTTAAACAGGAAGTTAACCAAATTGTTAGTTACACCAATGGCTACCTACACTTTAGAAAAATGAACCCAAAGTGCAAGGAGTTCACTAGAGAAGTACCATCTTTTTTTGAAAGGTTTAACCCAAGGACAGAAGCACAAGACATACTGAGAATGCAAACCATGCTTTAATTAACAATTTGGTGATAATTTTAATGGTCAGATCTAGCACAGCTAACCTAAAAACAAAAACTTAAAATCTAGTAGGACTTCACTTTTGCTGTAGAACTTTTGCTAAATTCCCTCTGAAATAAAGTGTTCTAAGTTCCTATGTTTTCTGGATGTTAGAATGTTTTTTATTTATTTATTTATTTATTTATTTTTTTGAGACAGGGCCTCAAGCTGTTCCCCTGGGTAGAGTGCTATGGCTTCACTGCTCACAGCAACCTCCAACTCCTGGGCTCAAGCGAGTCTCCTGCCTCCGCCTCCCAAGTAGCTGGGACCACAGGTGCCCGCCACAACGCCCGGCCATTTTTTGGTTACAGCCATTATTGTTGTTTGGGGGGTCTGGGCTGGATTTGAACCCGCCACCTTAGGTGTATGTGGCTGGCACCTTAGCTGCTTGAGCCACAGGCACTGAGCCACGTTAGAATGTTTAATATCTTATTTGTGATTTTATTAGTTATAAATTCTTCAAGCTAACAGAATTTAGCTTTTTTAGTTTTCCCCAACAGTCTCAGAACTTAACCCTTATTTATTTTTACCCAAATCAGTTGTGGCTTAGAAGAACAGAGGGAAGAAATAAAATGTTTTATATATAAATATAAAAAATTATGATGAATGATTTTCTGTTCCCTCTCCAGGAGACATGAGATAACTCCCTTCTTGGGAGTTCTGCCTTCTCCCTAAAACAGATATTCTGACAGATTCTAAAAAACATATTTTCCATATACTTCATAATTCAGCGAAACTAAACCAGTATAATCCTCAGTGAAAAAAAAATCCACACAAGAGTAGCAGTACAGTACTCTGAATTTTCAAAGGAATGTGAGTTGCTGGAAGCTAATCAAAAGTATGAGAAGGACTTCAAAATGAAGCAGCTAAAAATGAAAATCAGCAAAACTTTCTCTCCTTCCCTAAAACTTTAATACTCTTCAAAAACCTCCATTTTTAAAATTATCCACCATTTTAAGACCTTAAATTTAGCATGTTTAAAAGTTACTGTCTATTAGAGCCACAGAGAATACCAACATAAGGGAAATAAGTAATGGAAATATAGTGATGTTTAGACTATCCAACATCTGATTAAGTTGGCATTCTCCCTGACTGACAGGGAGTTCAGAAGTTTAAAAAGCTTTAAGAAATTTGTACAGATTAAAAAAAACCAAGATACATATTTGCATCTGCAACTGTGAAAATGCAAACCGGCATTTTAAATGCTTCTACTATTTCAATATTTTCTAAATGAGTCAATTTCCACATGACAAAGGGCAGTGTGGTGATTAAAATGAGTTGCTCTATATATTCTATGCTTCCTAGATTAAGCATAGTGAAGGATTAATATTTATTTACGTATACCAAATCTACCTTCTTATTAAGAAGTCTGGATTTTTTCTCAGTAAAAATGGGCCAAAGAACTACTTCACACATGCCTACACTTACAATTTCTCAATTACAACAAATTAATATGATGTACAGAGTACACTACCACAGATAAGGACGATCAAATGATGAACTATGTTGAAATAAAAAGATCACATTTTATTTATTATGGATGGCAGTTGAAAAGATATATAATAAAATGGTTTCATTTAGTGGGAAAAAACCTTTGGGAGATAAGTCCTTAATCTTTGAGTGAATATGAATCTTGCACAAACTGATGCACATTATGTACGATATTTCTACAAGAAAGAAGTGACAGGAGAATCAAGTATTTCTTCGTATAACCAAGTATCAGAGAAGCTCATAGAATCAGTACAGTTCAGTGGAACAACCCTACTACAGAACATGGTAACTGATTCAAATGACAATTCTAACTCACCAACAAAAATTTAACACTCTGCGGCATGATGTTTTTCTGAGGTCATTCCTTCCCTGTACTTGGCATCACACTGATAGGGTAGGGCAATATACTTTTTTAGCTCCCTCACACATATATTCAGGAGTTCTGTATATATTCAGGAGTTAAGTATAAAATAGTGCCTAGCACACAATGGACATGCAATAAACATTTGTTGAATAAACAGCTGTTATTTACAGAAGACAGTTAGCAACCTAACTTAGGACCACTTCCTCTAAGAAAAACTTAACAACTTCTTCATTCCTTGAAAATCTTGATAGGCCTGGCACAGCAGCTCATACCTGTAATCCTAGCACTCTGGGAGGCTGAAGGGGGTGGACTGCCTAAGCTCAGGAGTTCCAGACCAGACTGAGCTAGAGTGAGACCCTCATCTATAAAAATAGCTAGGCATTGTGGCAGACGTCTGTAGTCCCAACTACTCGGGAGGCTGAGGCAAGAGAATTGCTTAAGTCCAAGAGTTTGAGGTTGCTGTGAGCTATGACACCACAGCACTCTACCAAGGGCAACAAAGTAAGACTCTATCCCATAAAAAAAAAATCTTGATAGATCATGATGGATTAATATTTACTTATGTATACCAAATCTATCAAGGTTTTATAGTAAGAAAGTAGAAGATTTAGAAGTAAAAGATGCTTAAAATTCTAGTTTTGGGTGATCTGGGAATAAGACCCTACGGGAGGTTTCTAAACTAAGATTACAAAACACAAAGGGTAAATAGTACAACAGAGATTTTGTAGAGAAACACTCAAATGAAGGACCCAGGCATGTCAAACACTGGCTCAGCACCACCTGTTCCTCCCTGATAGTACTAACAGCAGACTCCCTGTGAACCATCTAAGCCAGAGTGATGCTGGTAAACTTTTGGAAAACGAATCCTACATTTCTCATTCATTCATCTTATTTATTTGTTTTTCACCAGTAGCAGGAAGATAATAGCACATGGAAAAGCCTTATCTTGAATTACCTGGTGCCGGGCTCGACTCTGATCCAGAAGCTGCCGGGACTGAAGTTTCTGTTGTTCAAGCTGCTGCAGGGCAAAATGGAGTTGGTAACTGCCTGCTGTGGGGTGATACTTGTGCTGGGGGACAACCCCCGTAGCCTTGCTGTATGCGTTGTTCTCTACCTCTCCCTCCCAGGCAAAGCCACCTGTTTGGAGGCTCCTGAAGAGAAAAGAAAGCAGGATTTCTTTGAGTTGCTGTAGGAATAATTTAAAGGAAAGGAGAGAAATGTCTCAGGTGGTTTTTCCTTTATAGAACCATAATCTGAAATCACAAATCTATTTCTGTAATAAATTAGCTGAATTCCCACTAAACTATAGCTCCATGAGGACAAGGACATTGCTTTGTACTCCATTCGTGTCCTAGTGCTTCTCATGAGGTGTAGCACATGGTCAATGTACAATAAATATTTGCTGAAAGTTAGATAACTGAAATGGCTATTTCATTGCCCTGTGATTGACATAAGGACCTCCAAGAAGAATCTACAGAGCTTCAAATGCTGATAGGCTAATGTAAGGTGAGAAAAAGAGGCACAATCATCTTTTCTAACACCACTTCAAAAGCAAAGGGGTAAATTACATAGAGTTCTTGGTTTTTCTTAACTACCCATTACTGAAGTTTCTAAATTATTTTTAGTAGCTATTTTTATTGGAGCTTATGTCCTCATCATTGGGTAACATAATTGGTGTGAGAAAATACTTTTTTTCATTATTCTAAACTTACCTCAATATGGTCCCCATGCAGGCTGACAATCAGGCTGGTGAAGGGTCTTTCTGGCCTTTGCTAATGCTGTTTGTTAAATACTTTATTTTCTTTACCTAGCTTCTTAAATTCTAGATTTTGGTGACCATGTCTGTGTACATGCAAGTAGAAGTCTCCATAACTACCAGCTCCTATATTCTCCCATTGCAGGCAAGGTAGAAAGGTCACCATTTATACAATTCACACCCATTAGGATGGCCGATATTAAATAAAATCAAAATCCTGGAAAATAACAAGTACTGTGGCAAGATGTTGGAAAACTGGACCCTTGTGGCTGGTGGGACTGTAAAGTGGTATAGCTGCTATGGCAAACACTGGTGGTTCCTCAAAATGTTAAACATGGAATTTCCAAATGACCTGGTAATTGCACTTAGAGATATACACCAAAATGACTGAAATCAAAACAGTTAACTATATACACTAGTGTTCACTGTAGCATTATTCACGATAGGCTGAATGTCCATCAATAGATGAATGGAAGCCCGGCACCAGGAATAGACAAAGTGTGTCATCTACAATGAAATAATACTCAGCCTTAAAAGGAAATTAAATTCTGACATATTCCTCAGCATATGTACAGAACCTTAAAGACATTATGCTAAGTGAAATGAGTCACAAAAGGAAAAATATGAGTCTATTTATATGAGGTACTTAGAAAAGGCACATTTTAGAGACAGAAAGTAGAGTGGTGGTTGACAAGGGCTAGGAATGGGGGGAAGTCACTGTTTAATGAGGACAGAGCATCAGCTTGGGATGATGAAGTTCTGCAGATGGATGGTGGTGACAAGGTGTACAACAGTGTGAACATACTGAATGCCACTGAATTGTACAATTAAAATGGTAAGTTTTGTTGCATGTATTTTAATATAGTTTTTTCTTAACGTCCCTATGTATTTTGAGAACAGTCTTAGCTAGCTTCTATCTCCTTAACACTTTTTGTTTTTGTTTTTTTGAGACAGAGACTCACTCTGTCACCCTGGGTAGAGTGCCATGGCGTCATAGCTCATAGCAACCACAAACTGCTGGGTTCAAGTGACCCTCTTGCCTCAGCCTCCTGAGTAGCTGGGACTACAGGCGCCCACCACAATGCCTGGTTAGTTTTTCTATTTTTAATATAGGCAGGGTCTCACTTTTGCTTAGACTGGTCTCAAACTCCTGAGCTTAAGCAATCCACCCACACTGGCCTCCCAGAGTGCTTGGATTAAAGGAATTAGCCACTGTGCCTGGCCTCCTTAAAAACTTGGGTTGCTCTTCTCTGGACCTTCTTTAATTACTCTCTCTATATTTTTCCCTTTGAAGTACAGTGGCAAGAAAACTGTACACAGAAGAAACATTACAAACACTCTTAGAGTGAACCACCTTGTCCCAAACCCTGGTTAACGGGCTTAGAAAAATGAAACAGTATCTAATTTGAGAGAAGTATTCATACTGATTTAAATCATGGTATTACTCTTTCTTTTTTTTTTTTTTTTTAAATCATAGCTGTGTACATTAATGCAAGCATGGGGGACAATGTGCTGGTTTTATATACAATTTGAAATGTTTTCATCAAACTGGTTAACATAGCCTTCACGGCATTTTCTTAGTTATTGTGTTAAGACATTTATATTCTATACCTAGTAAATTTCACATGTACCCACATGTAAAATGCATCGTAGGTGTGGTCTCACCAGTTACCTTCCCTCCACCCATCCGCCCCCCATCCCCTCCTTTCCCTTTCTCCTTTCCCCTTCTTCTTGGGCTAAAATTGGGTTATAGCTTTCATAAGAAAACTATAAATTGGTTTCATAGTAAGACTGAGTACATTGGATACTTTTTCTTCCATTCTTGAGATACTTTGCAAAGAAGAATATGTTCCAGGTCCATCCATGTAAATATGTAAGAGGTAAGGTCTCCATCTTTCTTTAAGTCTGCATAATATTCCATGGTGTACATATACTACAATTTATTGATCCATTCATGGGTTGATGGGCACTGGGCTTCTTCTATGACTTAGCAATTATGAATTGGGCAGCAATAAACATTCTGGTACATATATCTTTGTTATAATGTGATTTTTGGTCTTCTGGATATATACTTAGTAGAGGATTTACAGGATCGAATGGCAGGAAACAAAGCAGGAGGAATTAAGCTACCAGACCTCAGACTATACTATAAATTGGTAGTGATCAAAACAGCATGGTACTGGCACAAAAATAGAGAGGTAGATGTATGGAACAGAATGGAGAACCAAGAAATGAACCCAGCTACTTATTGTTCTTTGATCTTTGACAAGTCAATTAAAAACATTCAGTGGGGAAAAGATTCCCTATTTAACAGATGGTGCTGGGTGAACTGGCTGGCGACCTGTAGAAGACTGAAACTAGACCCACATCTTTCACCATTAACTAAGACAGACTCTCACTGGATTAAAGATTTACACTTAAGACATGAAACTATAAAAATACTAGAAGAAAGTTCAGGGAAAACTCTTGAAGAAATTGGCCAGAATGAATATTTTATGAGGAGGACCTCCCCCCTCCCCACCCTGGGCAACTGAAGCAACATCAAAACTACTTCACTGGGACCTGATCAAACTAAAAAGCTTCTGCACAGTCAAGAACACAGTAAGTAAAGTAAGCAGACAACCCTCAGAATGGGAGAAGATATTTGCAGGTTATGTCTCCAACAAAGGTTTAATAACCAGAATCCACAGAGAACTCAAATATATTACCAAGAAAAGAACAAGTGATCCCAACTCAGGGTGGGCAAGGGACTTGAAGAAGACAGGCGCATGGCCTACAGACATGTGAAAAAATGCTCATCATCCTTAATCATCAGAGAAATGGAAATCAAAACTACTTTGAGATATCATCTAACTCCAGTAAGATTAGCTCACATCACAAAAGCCCAAAACCAGAGATGTTGGCGTGGATGTGGAGAAAAACGAACACTTCTACACTGCTGGTGGGAATGCAAACTAATACGTTTCTTTTGGAAAGATGTTTGGTGTTATTCTTTCCTTTGGCATGAATGGTCATTTCAATGACAGAGGTTAGAAACCTTGGGTTTGCAGATCCTCCTGAGTCCCCACTTATAGGCCACCTGGTTATTGATAGCCTGGGTCCCGAGGACCCACCATAGCACCAGGGGAGGGAGCAAAGTGAAATGTTTGCTGAGCTCAGAAATCCAGGCTCCTTTCTCTCTTGGATGTGACCTCCCTCGTAACCTGGTCATTTTCAGGCCTCTGCTTTGGTTTCTCAATCTTTCTCGAATAAAGAGATCTCCAAAACCCTAATTAAGAGTAAGTCTGTGAAATTCACTCTGAAGTCCATGGATAAAAGGTCTTCCACAACGTAATCTCACCTCTGCTATGTCACATCCCTTGCTCATCTCCTCCCACAGTTTGGCTCCCTCAGTTCACATGTTCAATTACACACTATCAGCTAATCTTGGAGAACAGTACCAGAAAGCTCAGAGCTTATTTGCTAACTTTTTTTGAGAAGGACATTTGATCTTCAGTGATCCCTCTTGAAATGCTTCAATGTGCATGCTATTAGAAAGTTGAAAAGACATCCTTTCCCAAGGGGCTCTCAGAGATATAGAGAAATGTGGTGAGTGCTGATTGAATATAAATAAGTACCTCAGTACATTAATAAGCTGTTAACATTATTCACAACGTAGGGTGATGAGTGAGAATAAAATAGGATTACACAGTTTGGAAAGGGAGAGCCAGAGGATCTATTATCTCTTTTCTCATTAGTAAGGGAATAAGCTTACTGAAGATAACACACCCCAAATGGGCTGAACAACTAAAGGAACTGAGTGAGCTGCAAGCAGAAGGGGGAAGAGGGGCAAGGCAGGGGTGGGCTGATCAAAGAACACAAAAGGAATGGACAGGAAGGAACACAAAACAGGAGCTGCCTTGGCTGAATAACCTTAAAAATTCCACACCAATTAGGATAGGAACTGCTTTGAATCCAGAATAAAACTATTATTAAAACTGGACCAAAAGTAAGAAATTGATCAATACTGACTGTGCTTCTGTTCTTGGTTTTCTGGTTATAGAAGCTTCTGGACTGAGAGGACAGATATTAGAAGACTTATATAATGATGAAGCTTACATAGTTCATCTCACTGGCTATAGATTGATTTTATTTGCTAACAGCTATTTTAGTGACAAATATCCCCAGGAGGCATTCAATTTAATGCCTTCATGCTCTATATCAGAAATCCAAGTCTATACCAGGTTCCCTCATTTGGGATGATCGTGGGCAAGATCTCAGGTGTGTGAACATGAGATGGGTCTATGAATGTATAAGGGGTAGGGCAATGGGCAGGAAAAAAAATCAAATAAGGGGCTCTGGATGAGAAGAGATGTGTTCTTCCAACTGTATACATATTGAACAGGCTGGACCATC